AAAGAATGGAGATACTGCTAGTATTAATATTAAGATACCAAGACTTAATATGTAGATTGATAAATTACGATCGTAAGAAAATTACTGTAAAAACATGGGGGCAGAAATGTGTCGATGGGTATGGGTATGAAGAGAAGAATTATACCTACACCTATATCAGTCCAGTCAAGCATCGTCCATGATGAAGAACTGATAAAATAAAGGGTATGTGTGTGAGTGAGTAGTGTGAGTGTGGGATGCGGGAATGGATGTGAATGCGATTACAGATATCCTCACACACGCACACTCTTTATTATGAATAAAAATAATACACTTTAGCTTCTTACATTTGAAAAACGATAACAAATAGCAAGAAAATAGTTGGTTAAGTATTGACATTGAAACATCCCGGTAAATGAATTGTTCTGTTACCAGCTGGAAAACGACGACACTTTGTCTGTGCATAAAGTGGGTTATAATAACCAGTAGCACATGGTTTTGGTGACACTGCCGAATTGGAACATTCAACGTCCAAAAAGCATTTTGTACAATAGGTTGCACCTGATCGAATATTGTAGTATCCTGTTGGACAGAAACGACATTTAACTTGTCCATAGAGATCAGCATAGGTTCCTGCAGGACAGGGTTGTGGCAGCTTGGTAGCATTTGGACAGAACTGGCCTAAGCCACAACGGAGACATGTTGTCTGACCTGCTTGGATTTGGTACCAACCGCTACGACATCGACGACAGGTAGATTGCTCATAGAGATCAGTATAACTGCCTGGAGGACATGAGATTTGAATCTTACCATCAGGACAGTACGATCCTATAGTACATTTTCGGCAGACACTTCCACTGAGAAAGAAACCAGGAGTACAGGATAAAGACTGAGAAGCAATGGGTACAGCAGTGACAGAGAGAAAGAAAAAGAAGAAGAGAGTCATTTCAGTTCTTTTTCTCCAACGATAGCTCTTTAACGTATACTGCATTCGAAAAACAACCGTATATATAAACTCTTTTTCTTCTCGAATGAATAATAATAAAAATAAAAATAATAATTCTAATGCGTAACGAAAAATTCTACTCTTGTGAAGTTTGTTGTCTAAGAATGTTCTACACGCAGTCTCCTTGTTTATGGTACGAACGGAAGAGGGAGAAAGAAAAATGGAAGTGAAATTCCATACACACAAAACACTTTTAACTCCAGCGATTTTTACGATCGACATTCGTAAAAATATCAAAAATCTTTTTTTGCCTGCGCAATACACCGTTTCTCTTTGAATTAAACTGCGTAAAACACTTCACAGACACTGTGAAAAGAACGAGAAAATATATAATACAATTTTTCCTGTGCATAAAAAAAAGCCTTATTTATGTCCCTGTCATCTATTCTCCAGAATTATTACCAAAAAAATAACCTGCCGACACTGAACTGAAAATGTTCTTTAGTGCACTTTTGGTGCTAGCTTTTGTTCAACGTGTATATGGTACTATGGTAACGGCCACTCCTAGCAGTACTGTGAAAGCTGTAACTGATCCAGTTTGTGATCGTTATACAATGAAATCAGATTCGTATCCGTCAATTCTCATTCAATTAGATGTCGTGCTGACAAACCCTCTTACTCTGCGTGCAACGACACGTCTTCAGAACAGCAATCAAGTTATAACATTCGAAGGTATCATGTTTCCATCGGGCTTTTCCGATGATCACGCTTTAGTTGCTTGTCGATCAATGGGTTGTAGTAGAGTGAGTGCAAATATTCAAGTATCTTGGACTCAAACGCAGACGTGTCGATTTACCTGTTCAGATGGCACAACTGCATTGCAACTGTGCCGTTATATGCAATCTTATTTGAGTTGTCCTTCGAATCCAAATGATGCTATGAGTTTGAAGGAATGCGTTGTGAA